CTGTTTGTTTTGTCAACATCCAGAATTTGTAACCTCTCTTTACCGGTTTTTTGGCATATATTGCTTTATTGACCTTCGGCCTTTGAATTCTATCATAATTTCATCGGCGGCTACGTTTGTTGAAGCTGTAGACATCTTTGGAAATTATCTTTTACGGAATCTAAAAATGGGTGTACTTTGTATAGCTTGTCAAATTTGTCATCACCACGTTGGTACAGAATTATCAGTACCAACCAAAGAGGATCAATCCAAATCTATGCAAAGGCATTAGCTTGCTTATGTACAGATCATGAAGATCTGATGACGTACTCGAATGATCTCTATTATAATTCGAATATTTTTTGTTACACATCGAAATATTTATTGTCAAAAATGTTTTCACTTCAGTGATATCCGCTGGCTTATACGTCTTTCCGGCGGACCCAGACTTCTGTTGTGCGTATGGATTTGTTTGGAATACTAGATCACTCAAAATATCGTCAGTCAAAAGCAAATTTAAAAACGGTTTTGGTTCGGCGATATCCAGAATAAATTGTGGTAGTCCGCAAGGTGCAGTAAATGGCGGAGGGGGTTGAATGTTTTGTGTTTCTTATGCCCAACGAATTTGTCGCAAATCAGCAGCCAATCTACAAAGGGGAACTAGGTCTTCTTGACTCAAATCCTTCAGATTCATCATCTGCGGCGGATATTTCAAATTCTTCATTACCGTCCGCTAAAACTGCCAAATTGGTAACGTCTTCTTCAACATTGTCCTCGGCATCACTGTCGTTCTCAGATCCCTCATCGGAAGGTATACCCACAAAATCGACGTAACTATCTTCCAACACTTGATAAAATTCTTCTTCCGTCATTCCCACCAAGTTGATGGGTAAAGAGAAATTACTTCTTGAGATTGGGTTCATTGCAGTACGGTGGTACAATTACGAAACACTATAAATTTTGCAAACACAAAGGCCATTTCAAAACTCGCAGCTAATGAAATTATTTAAAACATACCTTTCTGGATATAGTTACGCAAACAAGTTCCAGCGATTCAAACACAAAATTTTTCATCACGAAACGGCCTTTTAGACTGTCAAAAAACAATAATATGCAAAACAAGCACGGACACGAATTTCCCAGTGTAGTGATGCGCCAGTGTTTGTTTACCATATTGTTTGGGGGACAGCTTTTGGCGCGATGTACTGAATCAGGAAAAAATTTCAAATACACGGTACATTTTGTGTATCACCGTACCTCAGACGTTAAAAAAATTGTGGTTTAAATTATCATCCACGGTACCTCAAAGAGTTAAAACGTTTTGAAATATCAAAACACTTCCAAAATCTGCCATTTAGTCTTGCCATCGTTATGAGTTAGTTATAACCTACCCTTTTTTCCCTATGTCAAACTTTAAATCTAATACTACGGTGTTGTCGGTAGTATATTTTCAAGGTAGAATGCAATGTGGGTGGTTTTTTAATTTTGGAAAATACTATAACTGTTAGAGGGAAGCAATTAGGACATTATTTCAATATCATGGATTGTTACAGTTTCCTCAAAGCATGAGTCCAATGCGCATCATATACCAATTTTAACAGGATGGAGTGGAGTTTCACAAAAGAAGTGAATTTTCACCATTCAAACCTCTCATATTTTGCGAATTAACATAAACTCTTAGGAGTGATTCAAATTGACACATAAGAGAAGACTGTTAAATCCACCAAGTTATCATCAGCTGCCAGAAATTCATGAAAGGAATGGAGTTACTACGGAAAAAGATGGAAATTTTATTTCAAAATTTTAGGGTAGGGACCCAAGGACATTCCAAGTTTTTGCGACAGATGCCTCAATGAAATTGATAGATTAGGTATTTTCCATGCGTTATCGGTCTTCTACGACTTCATTGTTACAAAATGTTGGTCGCCCAGAACCTTTTTTGTGGCGGAATATTTCGCGTTTCACAAAATCCTCACAGAGTGTTTCTAACAACGCTGTAAAAATTAGAAACGAAAAAATTAAAGTCTAGAAATTTTTGCTCAAACTCTTGTAGCCAACATTACCTTCTATGCTACAGACTGGGTAACCTTGTGACTTCATAGACCCAGGAGCTTTGTGAGGAATTAAAGTACCTAGTTGTTTGAGGTACCCGATCGGTAGACAACGCCTGGGTCCTCCGGTGTTAATCCATGTTGGACGCGAGGGGGTAATGAAAAGCTTCTGGATGGTGGTCTGCTCTCCTGGGACACTTTAGAGCCGAAAAGCGAGCATGGTGGGAACGCCAACTCCCAGGGACCACCAAATACGTATTTTAATACCCATCTTCATATAATAATGGTATTTTAAATGGAAATTTTCCTTCACGAGTTTCTTGTCAATGATCTAGCATATTTTTGAGGAGTTGGAAAGGGGTGGACAGGTGGACCAACTTTTCAAGTGTTTTTGTCGTGTTGACTACAACTTGTTGAATCTTATCGGGTGCAACGGATCAACTTGTCCTCCAGGTTTCAGTCTGGAACCTCGTGTTTTTGCTGGTTATTTAATGATGAATTTCTAAGGTCACTCACATATTCTAGACTTAGCTTAACATATGACTTAAAAATTTATTCCCCTATTGCCAATCTTGATGATATGAGGCTTCTCCAAGTAAATCTAGACAGGTTTTGCAGATGGTGAGAAGAAGATAATATATTTTTAAACATTATTAGGTTCGTGTTGCTTTGCCACTTATACTTGCAGAGTAAGTTCTTTCCTCTTCGAACATCAGAGGTTAAGTTTTATTAAAAGTGAACTCTAGCATTATCAAGCTTCAAATTCTCTACAATTCGTAACAAGTAATTTCAAATATTTTAAAACTCCAGCTCTAATGAAGTAATTTTACTTTTCTTTTGTCGTTAGAAAACTTGATGACGCTGAAGTAATATGATTACCAATTATTTACAAGACGAACTTATTATTAAACATTTTTAAGGTCAATTTTTGAAGTTTTGTCATTTAATTTATTGTTAATTGTTATTACTCTGAAAGAAATATGAAATATAGTGTTTATTTAACCGTTATTATTGTACATGTACACAAATACGTATTGTGTTCGGCCAGTGGGAAACTGTTATGCAATAAAATAATAATAATTATTATCATAATAAACATTTTAGAGCATTTTTTTTAATGCTTGACAAGATTTTTGTGACTATTCAGTGGCTATTAATCAATATTTGTTACTTCCTTTATTTTCTAGTTATAACAGAAACCCAGTTTGCTTGAAGGGTGAACTGTCAAACTTATAACGCGTGTTTTCCGCAAAAACTTCGTTGTTCAAGTGGATGTCTTGTTAGTGCGTGAAACAGCATTTTTTTTATAATTATTTTTTAATGTTTAGGGTGTACAAGTGGTGGAATTCCTTAATCCTACCAATCAACGCACTTCCACGAAACCAAGCGGCGATTACAAACTAAGTCGTGCCTAGAATCGTTTCTCGGGATTAATAAGTGATGTAGCATTGTAAATATTTAAAGTAAAAATCACAAGGCCCTAAATTATGTTTTTTTCCATCAAATTACGGTAGATAAGTCGTTGGTTTAATTGAGGTAATTGTTGGCGACTTCAAAGGCGCCGCTCAGCTAGTGACACTAATATGTTTCATTCAATTTATGTTGGCTCACTTAATAACTGTTCACAGTTATTAGTTTTTATCACTAGCCGAGCGCTCACTAGAAGACGGAAGAATTTTTATTGTTGAGATAAAAATCATTAATGTGTAATTATTAATTGTTGTTGACAGAATAAATGTTGTTCTTTTCTGCTTCTACAAATTAATTTGACAGGCTCAGCAACAATCGTTTGTCTGAAGTGTTATAACAGACTATCACTCATTATAAATTGTAATTCAGCCGATGCAAATAGATTGATGGTAGAGAGCGAACACTGAGGAGTGGCCATGAAGTTGCACTAATGGCACTCCTGCAGAGTTCCATACTTGATTTTCTTTATGCACTACGTTATTTTGTTATTAGGCCATTACGGCAATTGGACTCTGTCAATTACATCAGCCCTGATGAATTATAGTAATTTCGACGGTCTTCTGTACTATGGGAACGATAGTTCTTTGCTAGATTATGCGTTTTACAGTGAATTATCGAGTGAAAAATGGATTCCAGCTAGTCAATCACGCGTTGTGTTAATTTTTACATGACTCTGCTAAGTAAGCACATTATTTCCATCATAAAGAAAAAATGATCATTTTTATGCAACTGTTAAAGGAGCTACATTTTCATGTAAATGTGTGTTTGTTAAAATAATATCACTTTTTTCACTCATGACACTTGTAACAACGTTAAAAATAGCCTATTATTATGTAAAGCGCTAAAATAACTTTTCCCCTATTGTAGTACACATTTTTTCGATGGCAGTTATAAAAAATATGATTAAAAAATATTTATTTTGAGAAATCCAGTTCTTTCTCAGAAAGAGTGCTACAATGAAAACAACAGTTTATAGAGTTTTGTGGTTTATATATTTATTTTTTTAAATTTATTTTAATAATTTTATGAATAATAAGTGAACCATCAGTACTTTATTATTGATTGTTCTGATGTATTTCTGAAAACATGCGCTTAATTTTATGTTGTCCGGTGTTCCTTCATAGATATTTCATGTCAAATTATTATTGTGTATCCGCACCTGGTACAAAAAAGCACGTGTGCTTTCGTGACTAAAATAGCAGCACGTGAATATTACTCAAAGAAAATTACTTACAAAAAAAGTTAGTAAACAAACAAGTTCATAAACAGATTATTATTGTGTATCTCATTGCACATTTTCCCCAGGTACATTTAGAGGATAATTTATTAATAACTAACACACACACAAAAGCTTGAAGTGAAAAAAAATCGACAACAATTAGTGTTAAAACATCACCAGTAAACAAAATACTAATCAACAACAACAAGCCTGAAATCAATACTGTCATAATATTTACAAAGAAAATTGCTTCCACATTTAGTTTACTTGGTGTCGACATAATGAGTGGAACAACCGAATCAAATAAGCACTTACACAAATCACTTAAATTTATTTTAATAATCGCTCAAGTTTTTGGATTTTTTCCGGTCAAAGGTATTTTATGTGATTACGTATTTTCTCTGAGGTATTTCTCTATATCTGCGCGAGAACTTTTATCCCTTTTCGTGTGTGTTATTGGGTGGCTGGATTGTCTTGCAAACGTAAGAATATTAATCAATAGCGGCTTTAACGCACACTACTTAAGTATGTTGGTTAAAAACTGTGCAAGTCACAACTACACCCGATTTATGTATTTCAGATGGCGCGGTGTTCAGTTTCAGTAACGCAACATATTTTTTTCTTTTTTTGAGATTAGCGAGAGAGTGGCCAAAATTTATGAAACACTTAGTTCGACTGGAAAATCAATTATTTGCGAGATATAACTGGCCGCACAATTTTGACTTTAACGTAAAACTGTTTGCTACGATTTTTCTTTGTTGGGAGCTTGGTAATATTGCTTTTATATTTTTTCAGATGATTATGTATGTTGTTAATTATAGTGGAACATGTTGCCGTTCAGGGGAATAAAATAATTGTGGCTATAAATTGCAAGGGATCCTTTGAACTTGTCATTCAACATTACTTAAAGACAATGGGGTTTCGACAAGAGTTTGAACTGATCCATTACTCTCACCTACGAGGCGTTATTCTCCAGGTTTGCATTATTCATATCTGAATAGAACCTCCTACGATACTGTGATAGTTTAATTTCAGGCAGTTAACACGTGCTTTGCGTGCTGTTGGACATACGTGGACTTGTTTATTTTATTAGTCTCTTATTATTTCACCGCAAGGTTTAAACAAATAAGAAAACATGTTCTTTCACTCAAAAATGATAAAATAATATCAGAGAAGGAGTGGAGAGATGTGCGAGAAGATCATAATCAACTGTGTAATATTTGTGCTCTTTTCAACAAGAAGTTGTCCAGTTTTATATTATTATCGGTTTTCACGAATATTTATTACATGGTTTTTCACATTTTTAGAATTGTGAACGTAAAACATACAACTCTAGAGTTTGTGTATTTTATTTTATCTTTTGGTTTATTAATTTCGAGGACTATTGGTATGTGCTGGGTTGGAGGACTGCTGTTCGAAGAAACTAGAGCTTTTCTTCCTGCTCTTGCTTCGACACCAACAAAAATGTGTAATATCGAGGCAAGTTTTCACCAGCATCTTGGACAAAAAAAGATACAACACTTCATAAACGCCACTAAATCTAATTTACCATATATCGTTTCGTTCTCCAAAGTAATCACAACATTTTAATTTACAGATCGACAGATTTATTGAGGAAGTGCGCTGCAGGAGTATTGGGTTTACTGGAAAAAAATTCTTTACGATAAACAAGCTCCTAATTTTGAAGGTGAAACCGTTTATCATCTTTTTTGTGAAAAAATAATCTCGACTTTTGTAGATTGCAAACGTCATTGTAATGTATGAACTTATTTTAATACAGTTTATAGGAGTTAATTCTAATCAAACATCAGAATATTCAAACTGTGTATAATTAAGGTATAAATTAAATTAGATATTTATATTATTGTACTTTTTGTACAAATTTAGAGAATTTTAATCTTTATGCTATGACGGATATAAGTATTTGTAAAATAATAATGAATTTTGAAAAAGTATATAGCAATGTTTCATTTGGACAAAATCACTATGTTATATGATGTGCTCAAGAATAGTAAAACATTTTTTTGCTCGAGGTATATATATACACAATTTTTTTTCGTGACGTTGCAAATTGCATTTTTTCATTCGAATCGTTTCGTCCACTTTATACATCTTTATTTTGTATTGTCTTCGGCGTAACATCATTTAAAACTACTAGACAAAGTAGTGGTGAGAGTATGCATCCTTTCCTCATTCCAAGTTTTGTTTCATTTTCTTGAGAGATCGTTTCTTAGTGGAAAATTTTAAAAGTGTATGCTTTTTTGCGTATATTTTAGAAATTTGCTACCAAAATTATCAGACTTAATAATTCTTGAATAAAAACGTCACATTTCAATCAAAGATTGAAAAATGCGGTATTTTCACATTTGTTTTTTTCGTCTTCTATCTTTTTTATAAAATCAATCAGTTGTTTTTATGAGTTATAAACATTTTATTTAATTTTGAACATGGGATTAAATGGTTTCAGTAGACTTCACTATATCGATGAATTTACATGATCCAATTATAGACCAGTCACGTTTAAAACTAATGTTTGGAAGTTAAATGTGTTTTAAATTAGTAATTTGGACGTTAATGTCATTTATCAGCTTAATTTTATTATTATTTCTTTTTTGTACTATATAACAACTACATCTCTACCCACTTGTCACAGAATATAAATGAGTCTTTATAATTACTACCATTAATCATCAAAATATCGAATCTGTTTAAGATAATTCAAGCTAGAGCTAATAAATATTTAACTCAATTTAAATAATCTATCATTAAGAAATAAACCACACGACGTATAAAATAGACTAGAAACATTTCCTGAGAAGAAAAAAACAATTTTATATTTTTAAACTACACATTAGAATTATATAGATGAGTATACGGTGTTTAAAATAAAAAAAGAAAACTTTGTGCAGACTTATTATGATAGTGTTGTCTCATGGAGAGTTCAAAAAAACACATCTTCAACGGGAGTATTGTACCTATATTTTGAAAATGTATTACAAAGTTTTGACCTACAATTCACAGATTTTAGAATTCACTATTTATATTTTTTATTTTTTTCGTGCAGGGACATTAACGTGATGTGTTATTTTCGCCGGAAAATTGTTTGGATTCTAAAGTATTTTAATTCCTGCGGCTACTAGTACAAAAAAGGTAGCGAAGAAATGTACACATAATTTCTAATGTGTGCAATTATTATCCAATTTGCAACTTCAAATTGGAAAATTAGACCGGTTTTGCCCCCATTGACCTTACCTAATTTTGATAAAAGATGGCGCCATGAGTATCTTCTTTGTAGAGTTCCTACGAGTTGGACGAAGGCAAGACAATGGTCATTAGCCGACTACTGATGGGGGTCTTTTTTGTAAGGCGCAATATAGTGCCAAAACCCGGACAAAACAATGCCGGGTGTGTGGGTTTGGAAACAAGCAATTTTGCAAGCTCTCATAATTTTGTTAAAAAAGATATTTAAGCTGACATTCTCATTACAAAAAATTATAATAAATAACTTCACATTTTTTGTGTTCGGAAAAGTAAGCAGATTTGATAACCGTGATTAAATCAACCATACGATGTTACAAGTTTTTTAACGCATCAAGCGAAAAATATGTTGCTATCTCATTTGACTTGAAAAACTGTGACAATTTATTTGCGTTTAATAAGCGTTGGCACGATTTTAAACACACGGCATTTTGACCGGTTTCTCGTGTTTGATCATAGAAAATGTGGCTGTGCATAATTTCATGAGTTTCTTATTTCAAACAGAAGCGTGCATAATGTGAAAATTGCATGTGTAAATTACGGCTCGGCTATTCCCCTTTATTCCTTATAAGACATTCGAGTAATTTGTCAAACAACAACCAAGACACAAGTGCGAAATGTATGCAGACCATGACCTCCAAAATGTTTTTTTGCTTTGTACAAACACATCAAATTGCACATGTGCATTCGGTAGCCGTCATAAAACTATTTACTGAGCCATCTTCTAAATTATTTATGAAGGACAGCGCGCTAAATGAGCACCATTTTTATTAATTCGCGACAATATGCTTTGACCCTTACTTGTCCAGATTGTCATCCAGTGGCAACGAAATGAGCAAGAAGCGGCTATAAAACGTGATAAAACACTTCTCGTTACTAAATCGAACACTGAGATAATTGCTTTTGATACGTACTTCCCACTGCTAACGATTACTGCTATTAGCAGTTTGATGTCCTGAAAAGCATTTATTCCTCCGTGCGTTGAGTTTACCGCAGTTGTTACAACTAACTACATAATAATTCACCACCGCGAGGGGCTAGTTTTTAAACTAGTTTTCGAGGAAGTGTCGAATTTTATTTTCTGAAATATAATAGCTGGGAAAGGGTGGCTGCTGGACCACAGTCCCACCGAACTTAACGAATTTTTCAATCACACCCATCTCATAAATATTCATTTGATTGCGTACTACCGAATCATCTGTTCTGCATGCAGTGTCGGCAATAAATTATAAAAATAAAATCGGAAATTAGTCTGAAACAGCTCCTAAAATAAAAGTATTAAATGGTAAATGGTGTCTAATGATTTTTGTTTCCTATATTTTTGCGGTAACATGAACTGTCTTAAACTGACAGTTTAAGACAGTTAATAAGTATTAACTAATTTGGCAGTTTGATTGGAATCCTTGTTTCGACAAGGTGACAAAAGTCAGCCTTTAATTGATGTAGACGTCATTTATAGATCCTCTGTAATTATTTACACACAGAGTAACATTATTATTATCAATAAATAATCCATTTGTTTCTACAACTAATAATCCTTTGCATTGACCTTTAATAACGGTGAGTGAATATATGAATGAACGAATGAGAAGCAAAAAGTTGGTTTTACTTTTAATTGAAACTGAAGTTTTGAGTTTTTCCACATACTGTTTAAAAGATGGATCAGTGGCATCGCATCGAGGTTGGTGCATGGGGGTTTTTCCCCATTCGACTTTTAATTTATTCTCTCTATATTTCTACATTACTACGGAACGTGATGCCATGGTTACAATTATTGCATATAGTTCGAAATCACCCTGTATAAGTTTCTGTTTTCTTTCCTATCTTGTTCACAGATGATGGAATCTATAATTAATTGGTTATTGCAACCAATTATTATTACACTAAAAATAATTAAGAAATTTTAAATCGATCATGAAGGTAACAAAAAATAAGGGTATTTATTTTTCACTTTAAAGTTAGATCGAGTATCATATAAATAATAAATCAAGTATTTCAGCAAAATTCTAAATTTAAGTTCAATGTGGGAAGACTGGTAAAAGCCCAGATATTGCATGTTTTGTCTCTTGGGCTTCGATAATTTTATTATATTATTGTTTCTGAAAAATAATAGAATTGAGGACTGCAAATAACAGAGTGTGGCCTTCAACCTCCCCACCTCATGCAGCACAAATGGAAAAGAGGATGAGGAGGCAGGAGACCACCTCTAAAGAATATAGCTACAATATAGTGCAAGTCACCTCCGTGTAGCTGTGATTGATGTACAGCATCCACATGGTAAGCTCACTGCTGATTAGGTAGAGATGCTACAAAATGGCCTGATGGCAGCACTGGAAAGACAACTTGAACAGTGCCTGGTATCGGAAAGACAAGCTGCCAATTTCAGGGGCATCAAGTACATAGGGAAAATCCTAAGGATAGCCTGTGAAAACGAGGTGTCTCTGGAATAGGTAAAACAAACAGTCCGCTCTCTAACACCCTTGTGGGAAAGTGCACAACTTAACGTGGTCCTCTTGGCTGAGCTACCAAGGTTGGTGAGGGTCATTGTGGATACCGAGACCACCGGTAGATGCAGAGGTCGTACTTCGCCACCTGGAGGGTCAGAAACAAAGGGTTCGCGTTAAGAAATAGCTTCTTTTCCATCACGAGGCTAAACCCGAGGCTGCCTATCCAGGCAACCTCTTTGTGTTTGGTCTTGGGTTGGATGAGGCCAAAACAATTAAAGAGAGAGAGAGAGAGAGAGGGCAGGATCAACTATGTGCTGTCCTCTTTCAACCTGAAACTTAAGGAGAACGAGACGTCGATTCAGGAAAGGCAGACCCCTATGGAAGAGGCAGAAACCCAAGGGGATGAAGCCTCTATCAGTGGGAGCGGACCATCCTGAAACATAAACCTCGTATCTCCTAAGATAGGTATGAGATTTTTGGTTGTAGAGATGGCGATGCAGCAGATAAATTTAATCCAGATCCAGAACCATAGATAGTAAAATCCAGGATCTCGGGATTAAGCAATTTAAATGCCACTGTTGTTTCAGGTACCACAATAGAATCTCCAAGGACATGTATTTACATTTCCAGGAATATCAAAGCCGTCCTCCTTCCTCAGGTCAGCTCTAGCGATGTGACTGCGGTTAATACTAAGTGTAATATAGGAAGAGGCGAAGAGCAACTGGTAATAGCATCCGTGTACTTACCACAGGGAGCACATGAACCATATCCAACATGGGAGACGGACAACTTAGTGAATTATTGTCACACCGGAAATATAAACCTCATCATCGGTACCGATGCAAATGCCCACTATGTGCTGTGGGGGAGCAAAGATCTAATGAAAGAGGGAGAACACTAGCTGAATATCTTTTGGCAACAAATCTAAAGATTCTCAACCGAAGCTGCGAACCAACTTCCGTAACATCGCGTAATCAGTCAGTAATAGATATTACACTGGGTACATGGGATATTTTAC